TTTATTAATTGCATAAAATTGTACATAATAATTATATCTCAAATTTTAATCTGTTATAGTCTTACTTTTAACCAAACATGTATATAGTTTTCATGTTATTTGTAAACAAATATAAAAATATATAAATAAAAACATTCAATATCTTCTAGCATCTCTGATTCTTAAAATATATCACTTAACTAAAAGTCAATATGATAAAATTATTAGTCTTTACAAGAATAACTAACCTATATCTAAAATCAGTAAAATTCTCAAAGTTTATAGAACAACTATCTCTTATACTATCAAAAAGTATATTAATAAAAATAATTTTGCTACTTATTTCTGAACTGATATCCAAAGTTATTGACATGCAAAAGTCAAAAAATACTAAAAACTATTATTAAGAATAATAATAAAAATTCTGCTAAACAAATCAAAAAAAAATTTATTAAAAAAATCAATATCAAAGTTTTTACCAAAATAATTAGAAGAAATTTGCATAAAATGAAAATTTTTTCTTATATACCAACTTGAAAATCTCTCCTTAGAGATCAATAAAGAGAATAGCATCTAAGATGATATATTCAAAAAAGAAACTGAACTATTCAAAAATGGAAGTCTGTTATATGAAGTGATGAGAGTAGATTTACAATATTTGATAATGATAGATCAGGCCATGTTTGAAAAACTCCAGACACTAGATTTAATTAGCAAATATGATTCTAACTGTAAAATTTGGTGATAAAGGACTAATGGTATGGGAATATTTTTTGGATAAAGAATTAGATCTATTAGTAAAGGTGGAGGATAAAATGAATAGATTGGATTATATATAGATACTAGAAAAGCATTTATTACCTTTGATAAATAAGGAATTTAATGGTAAGAGATATCTGTTTTAGGATGATAATGCTCCAGTCCATACTGCTAAGAATGTTAAGCAGTGAATGCTTACAAACAAAATTAATATTTTACCAGATTGGCCAAGTCAGTATTCTGACTTAAATCTAATTGAGCATTTATGGTCAGAGCTGAAAAGAAGAATAAGAAATCAACCATAAGTAATAAAAAATATTACAGAATTAGAAACTGCCTTACAGGAAGAATGAAGTAAAATTTTGATAAATCAAATAATCAGCTTGATAGAAAGTATGTCATAGAGAATAGAAGTAGTTATTACAAGTGATGACTAGCCTACTAAATATTGATTTATATAGTTAATTCATTAGTTAAAGTATAAAATGTTAAAATTTGAGATATAATTATTATGTATAATTTTATGTAATTAATAAATTTTGGATATGTGATACTTTTATCCAGGTAGTATATTAATTAATAATTTATATTATTTTTATATTAATAAATATTAGTATTATCTATACTATTTAATTATTATTTATATAATTCTTAATAAAATAATAATTAATATCTAATATAATTTTTAAATTTTAATAATAATAAGTATTATTAAGTTATATTAATAGTTTATTTAATATAAATAGAAAAAATCTATTTTAAAATTCTAATATTTTTAAATTTTAACTTTTTAATATTTTAATATTTTAAAAATATATATATAAGTATAATATATATATATATATATACAATGGCAATCAAAAATAATGCAATGCTTAAATTTTTTATTAATTATAATTAGTAAAATATATATTTTTCCTTATATATAAAAGTTTTAATTTTACTAATAAATATTTTTTATTTTTAGCTTAAAAAATAGCTAAAGTTCTCTAATTTAATATCTATTTTTTTCAGAATTTTTGGATTTTTTACTGATAACTTGTTTTAATTACATATGAAATTAATTAATTTTTATTAATTAATAATTAGTAAAAATTAATTAACTTTATATGCAATTAGAACAAGTTGCCAGTAAAAAAATCTGAAAATTCTGAAAAAAATATATGTTAAACTAGAGAACTTTAGCTATTTTTTGAGCTAAAAATAAAAAATATTTGTTAGTAAAATTAAAAACTTTTATATATAAGAAAAAATATGTATTTTACTAATTATAATTAGTAAAAAATTTAAGCGTTGCATTATTTTTGATTGCCATTATATATACTCACTAAATAAAAATTTGAAATTGAGAATGATTAACATAAATAAAGAGATGAGTTACATTATTATTTATACAATATACAGATATCTAATTTTAATATTTAATAACTCTTTAAAAAACTAAAATCTTAAGCTTTAAAATAATATAAAAAAATAGGTCAAACTCAATCAATATTCATAAAAATTATCAACTTATGTTATTTTGATTTTATACTTTTCACATATAATAAAATAGATTCTAGCTTTGTATCTATCTTTTACACTTTTTTCATCTTCATAAATTAGTTTATATACTGGACATAATTTAAAATATTGTAATAATATCTTATTATGAAAGTAAATATGATCATGAGTTAGATTGGATGATACACTTATCTTGATTGATTCCTCTAAAATCATTTTTGATGATTTTTCTGGTAATAACTTCTCAGAAAATATACTTATCTTAGTTTTCGGTAAAGTACTTACAATTTTGATTATATGATTTTGATGATAGATCTTCATCAAAATTTTACTTATATAATTTTCTATATTAGACTCCTTATAATTAAAAATATTATTGATAATCTTTTGGATTTGATTATTTATCAATTCTGAAATAGAATTTGCACTGTATGCTTTAAGATACTTAATTTTATCAATGCCTATTTTTTCGAATAATTTATAAGTCTTTATAGCCCTTTGGATTTTTCTACACAAAGTTTTATGCGAGATTTCTGAAGGCTGTAATTCCATTTCTTTGGATCTTTTTTCACAGATAATAGTAAGGTGCTCTAATATTTTATCATAAGTTATACCTTTTGCCTTTTTCTCACCAATTTTGCTATTACTGTTTTTTATAAGATCATTATATTGAATTACGAATTCTTTTCCATATTTAATCCAGCATAAGGTTTTTTCCTGGTTAGCTTTTGTAGCATAATATTCAGCATTTGTTGCTTTATCAAATAATTGAGCTAAATCGAGTAATGAGAATTTTGATGACGGGCCGTCGCTGAAATTTCAGTCACATGATTTGAATAATGCCGATATTCTCTGTTCCCTTTTCTTGTGCGATTGGGATGTTTTGTCCAGGCTTTTATTTTGATTCTGATCCCAAAGCTTTTTCACAGTTTTCGAGTCCAGAGATTCAGGTGTTGACACAGTTGATGCCTCGGATTGTATCGGAGGAGTTAAGTTATTATGAGATTCTTGAAGTTTTTTTTCCCGGTTCCTTTCTCTTATCTCGCTACTAATCCTTTCCTTATGTAACGTTTCTACAAAACCAAGGATCTCGGCTGAATCGTCATGGATAATATCCTATGGTAAAGAAATTGTAGATGTTTCAGGCTCCGTTGAAGATTCAGATTGGGTTGAGCTATATTCTATTTCAGGCAAGGAATCGAGGGTAATACCTTTCTCCTCATAAGAATGGCTCTCGATATGTGGCGAAATATCTTTTGTAGGAGATGCTTCCTGTTCATTAGTAATAATCTGGATCTGTTTCTGTTCCAATTTCGTGATTCTATCTTTAAGCTCAACATTCTCAGCTTCTCGCCTGACATTCTCTTCCATAACCTGTTTTAAAAGCTCGGCATTCTTGGCTTCGAACTCAGCCTTTTCGGCTTCAAGTTCAGAAATTCGTTGTTTTAGTAAATCAACCTCGGATTGCATGTTTTAGTAGTAGTTTAAAATGTATAACTAAAGTATCAAAATTTCGGCGACAGCCTGTCGTCAAAAAAAATATATTTATAGATAGAAGTATTACGATACTTGGTTAAAATTAACCACGAATCATGATTGCATTTATAATTGAAAGGAGCGAATATATAACCATTTTCACGATCTTTATCGTTATTTTGATGCATACTATGTAAATATCAATAGTTTAATAGTTATATAATAAACAAGATACCAAAACGTTTATATGATCGCATTACAATTTGACAATGTCATTACATATTTAAATTACTTATGCAGTATTAGAAAACGTTCTCATTAAATGATTTATTAAAAAAATTTTGACAGAATGTCAAGGTCACTTTCTTTTTTTTCCGTCTACTGGTTGTACTTTGTTTTTTTCGGGCGTCAAATCAGTTAGTGTAATGAACAGGTGTGCATTTTCATTATTATCGGGTGTACGGGTACACGCATCCTGAATATATTTTCTCAGGTCGGCCAAACTTTTTTCAAGCAATTCCTAATGACAACAATTGAAAGTTTGTAAAAAGGCAGAAGATCCCTTTATTTATAATTAATAAACGTGCGTGCGTCAGTAAAAACAAACCTTGAATTTAAGGAACACCGACACAGATTGTAATATCAAACCAATCTCAACTTCATTCGATCGCATAACTTCACAAAAAATGTACAATCCGCGAAACGGAATCGACATCTCGTACACAATTACTTCATTATCTGTAAGAGGAGAATGTCAGTTTTATATATAATATTGACAATTTTCAAAGTTAGCAATACTTACAATACACATGTAGGCCATACAACTTTACTAAACTCAAATCCATGCCCGTTCCACCATACTTCTTCACAATCCTATTTATAATAACTTTTAACATTTTCGCAATTTTAATCTTATCGTTAAAGAAATGTGAATGATCGAGTTGGTTCGGTGGGCCACTGATTTCTCCAATAGAGAATTCCAGATCGGTTAGCTTCATAGACCATATAATATCGATTTTGCGGCCAAAATTACGGTCTTCTGTTGAAGCAAACAAATATTTCTCACCGCTAGGTGAAGGTACATCCGGTACATTACAATTTTGTTGAAAAAAAATGATATCAAAAAATTTAAAACGCAATATACCTACAAATAAATATTCATCTCCCGGTGTGTGCCACGAAAAAGACTACGGATCAAAGGGGTAAAAAATATTTCGCGATATCCAAATTCGGACAAATTGTAATCTGTGAGGTCGTTGTCTCGTTCAAACGACTCGACGCTAAGAAAAAAATTGAGCATGAGAAAAGTCGAAGAAACATATTTATTAAAATGATCCTTGATTCTTACAGAATGTTCAGATAGTCCCATACGAATTTTGTTTTATTATTGGCTCGTGTTTTCAAATAACTCTCGTCCACGAAATTACGGAATTCATTTGTCTAAATAATGAGACTTTAAGTGTAAAGCAACAAAATATTTGCATTAAAAATAACGAAAACAATGATACCTTAATAAAATCAATAATATAGTTTTTCATTTCATCCACATTATCCACATTCGGCGTGGGAAACGTTTTTGACTGTTTCATATCTTGCACTGCATCATCTGGTAGTGATTGAACAAAATCACTATTTGAACCCGGAGTGATGTCGATGATATCATAAAAAGCCAGACTAAAATTTTCGATAACAATAATACATTATGTGTGTTTCGGATTTATCACGTGCCGAATAGAAAAGCGTTGTTACAAAATTACTTACTCAGTACGTGGTCGCGGTTTCGCCTGTTTCCATTTTACCAAGAGGTCACGTACATCGGTGTCGCACACAATCCATTTATTTCCATCCCGGATGGTTTCATTAACGTACGCATCTAATTCATCATTCGACCTATTTGAACGATTGTGAGAATTATTGTTTCGTAGATATTAGCATAAATAATTATAGTACCTCTCTTCGTTACTTATAAAGTCTCCCAACACGATTTCAATCTGCGGTGCTAGCTCAGACACGAACTTTTTGCTATCATCATAGTTATCAGTGGTTGTGGTTTCAGTTTGTGTCTGAGCTACCAAAGAAATATTGGAATTATCGTCACGATTATTCCCTTCGTTATCGTCATCGTGATCGTTATCACTAGAGGAGCTTTCAGTTTGAGTCACAAAAGAAGTATCATCATTATTAACGAGTTCACGATCATTGTCGCTGGTTGTGTTCCCGGTCTGTCTCTGAGCCAATGAAAATATTATTATTAGCATTATTTCATAGAAATAAATAAATAATAACTAACTTACCGATTTACTATCTAGTCCGTCGTCTAATTGCTCATGAAAAGAAATATGGGCTTCACGTTTTCGTTTTTTTACTTTCCGCTAATATTCAAAGATTTTTGCTTTTATAACAGTTTAATCAGCTCAAGTAAAAAAAAAACAACTACGTACATTGGCTTTTCTATCTTCTAGCGAATCTTTATAACATGCCCAATCATCCTTATATTCGTCATTATCCCATTTTCTTCTCAGATTTAATAACTTCTTAGAATCTGGCGCTTTTTGCAAAACCTGGTTTAGCCGTAATCCGTACTCGTGGTGAGCATTTGAACTACGGACGAGGATCTGAGTGATTCAACAAATAACTTCTTTGCTCCTCTCGACGCGTTTTACTATGGGTCATTTTTCGATAAAGTTTTGAATTGTGTCGTCATTATATTTGTTACAAGAATCACGTGCGATCAATTATTTTATTTTGATTCATCTATTTTGCCTAAAACACGGCACGGACTGGGTTACTCTCATGCAGAAAAAACTGAGGTTACTCGCTTGTATTCTGCGGATGTTTTCATATCAATATGAAAAGCACAACCCCTGCGCAAGCGTCTGCTAGGTATTAAGTTGAAGGTCGGGAAAAAACTGAGGTTATTCATCTGGATAAGCAAGGCGTTATAACCAGCATCGGGAGCCTGTGCGAATGATTGAGGTCGACCGGATGGATACGCTTCAACACTGTCCGTGCATTGACTTTATAATATACTTAACATACCCTTATGGCTGTAGTAAAATAATCTATAGTCATGTGTCAAAATTTTTATGACGCTAATGTTTTCTGTTTCTGCGGGGAGTATTTTTTTGATTCTTCGATTATGATATGAAAAAAAATAACCTTATTATTATAAAATCTATTTTTCAGATTTTTGATCAAACAGTCAAATCGTACAGATCATTTATATTGGCAAAATACAACCTGGAAATTTGGGTAAACTTTATTAATAATATTATATCGGTGCATTATGTGATTATTATGATTAGATAGAAGTGTAGGGGTAGGGATGAACAAAGCATGAATATTCACGCCTGTCGGGATCTTAGATTCTTATTGCTACTAATAACGAAATTATCTTTCCTTTTTGGCATGAATGTGCTGGGCTTTCACCGATCCAAGCTTCAGCTTTATCCAACGAGGTTTGTATTTGGATTTATAAATACTTGCCCTTTATTAAGAGAATTGTAATGATCGAATCCATATGACCAAAATTTCAGCGACGGCCCGTCGTCGAAATCACAATGGATTTTATAATCTTTATTATTAAGTTAATAAAGTTCGTCCACAGTACCTTCTTCCATCACCAGCAGGACTTTAGTTCTGTTTACGATGATTTCGAGAATGGGATCGAGAGAGATACACATGGGTCAATCGTAGAAACGATTCCTCATCAAGACTTGAACGATGCGCAAGATTTGAAACCCCCCCCCCAAGATCCGACTTTCCAAGCCGAAAAAAAGTCAAAACGAGATGCCAGAAAAGGTTAGTGATAAGAGACGAGGAAACATCGGTAAGTAGTTCATTTTTATTGTTAATCTATGTAAAGCAAGCAATACTAACATTTTACTCTTTATAGATTTGACGCGTGTTCGAAGGCCGAGGATCCAATGGTGGATCGGATGCGAAAAATCAGCTGGTTGGGTAAATCAAAAATAGATTGGGAAGGAATATATCGATCTTGTCATTATCACGGGTTACACCCAAAACTTTGTAATTATGTTATTCTAGTATATAATAAAACATTTAGTTGTTTCTCAAACATATATCATATGACATCGCTCCACCATTATAACGTGATGTGATTTGCTTCACCTTGTGACTATATATAAGATCAGATGCGTTAATATATGTCAGAGACACCAACTTCACTACAAAGCTAGATAATTAGATGCGATAGCATCCTTACTCTGTGAGACTTTGCCTTTTACTTTACACTTTAGAATGGGACGCTTTATTATCACTTCAGTCTTATATATATGCTTATTCTCTGATCCTGAACTGGATCAGATTCAGATATTATAATGCTTTTGATAATCTTGGTATCACCATATCTTTTCTTTTTTTGATGTAAACTGATATAACAATGTTGGAATTTGTGAGAATCAGAAGAATCTAATTAATTATCTTTAACATCTGAAAGATTTTTCTTAATTATATTTGTAATCTTCTCCATTGATAAATCAGACTTATATAGATTATTTTTACTAGAGCCAGCTTTATTAAAATCTTTATCAATTAATGGAATATTCATATTATCTATTATAATTTTATCATAATATTCATAAATTCTGGAAGAAAATTCAAAGATAATTTTTGCTTTATATTTTTATAATCAATCTTGATTCAATATCAAATTAAATAGTAGATTTTTATAAATCTTGAAATCTATTATATTAGTATTATTTAAGCTATAGTATGTTCTCTTATACTAAAATTATAAATTTAAATAATTTATTTTATTTATTATATCTTTATAAAGATTCTTAATAGAATTACAAGTAGAATATATTTCATAATTTGATTTAAGTTTATTAAATAATCTCTTATTAATAGTATTAAACTTTAAGATTATATTAATTAATATTTTACTAAAATTTCTTCTTTTATAAGTATATTGATAAATAAATTAAATATATTTAATGATATATATTATAATTAAAAAATAATTATAATTTATTTTGAATTTTATTATATATTAATATAATAAATAATAATAAAACTAGTATTAAAATTAAAGATAGTATCATAATTTGATTATAATTTTTTGATTAGCTATCACAATTAATTGTAATTCTCTAATTGACTATTACAAGTCATAATTAATTGAGATAATATCTTTAGTTTTCACATAATTAGAATTTTTTATTTTTCTTTCTTATTATTATTATAAGAGCAAATTATAGATTTTTAAAAGAAAAATTATATTATTATTTATCATCTTCTAAATTTCTTCTTTTAGAAAGATATTTTTTATAAGTAATTTATAATGATAAAATTAAAATATGATTAGTCTTTCTTTCTCTAAATATATTTCATATTGAAATATATTAGTTTAATCTAGTTGAGTTATGTCAAAGAAATCTTTATAATTATTTAGAACTTGATAAAATTATTATTATTATTCTAAATCTAAATCTGATTTTATTATAATTAAAGTAATATTAAGTAATAGTTATAATAATATTTCTAATTATTTGTATATATTTTATTTTATATTAAAAATATTTATATTCTCTTTTGTTATAAGTACAAGCATCATAATCTTTTAATTTTTCTTATTAAATCTTTTTTTTTCTTATTTAATAACTTTATTATTAATTTTTATAAAGTCTTTCTGAATTTTCATTTTTATATAAGTTACTTATTTTGCTCTTTATAGATTATATATAATGACTAGTCAATTAATTCTTTTTTTTTATATTTAAATTTATTATTATTATCAAGAACAGATATTTTTAGTTCTCTTTTTGAGATTAATTAATTTTGTTATTAATTTTTATTATATATAGGTAACTAAAATAATTATTTATTCTTCTTTTACTTCAAAATTGAAAAGTTTATTATTCTAATTCAAAATGTCTTTAAATTATTTTACTTATTAATTATCAAATAATAAATCATACTTAATTTTTTCTATTACTAAAATATTTATTTATTAATATAAATTTCTAATTTTATTTTTAATTTTTTTACTTCTTTTAGTGATTATTCAGACTTTTTATTTATATTTATAAGATTGATATTGAATAACTTATTAATCTTCTTATTTATCTGCTTCAAGAATTTTATTAATATAATATTACTAATTAATTTACTATTAATTATAATTTATATGAATTGATTTTTTATTATTTTTTCATAATAGATTATATCTATTACTTTTTTTTTCTAGATTCTTATTCTTTTTTATAGTTTTATTTAATAATTACTATAGAAATATAATTGAAAACTTTTAAAAAAGAGACTCATACTCTGATTTTTATAAGTATAAATTCTAGTTTAAATACAGTGGTCTTCCAGAATATTGTGGATACTTTTTAAAATATAATAATATAAAAATCAATAAAAAAATATGCTTTATTATTATAAATTAATAGATTTACTAAATCATAATGTACATTATCTTAAAATTTCAAGTGATTTAAATCACTGATTAAAAAAATATATA